TGACTGATGGTGCGGCATTCGTTATTGAGAAGGTAAGGATTTTTCCAGGCAAGCTCACGTGTGATATGTGTGCAGATTTTGAGCGAGTCCAAGCCGGCTAGCGAGAGTGAGAGGTATCGCAATGAACAACTCGAGGCTGCCTTGGAGCACCTTATGAGCCAAGATGGAGAGGAGTTTTGGACCAGTGGTCAATGGATGACCGAGAGAGGCGGTGGCAGCGACGTTGGTGCTGCAACTGCTACTACTGCGGTAGAGTCGACTAATGAGGACGGGTGGGTGCCGAGAACATCGCGTAGCATGATCCTAGTATTCCTGATCTTAGAGTATGGCTGCTGACCGGTAACAAATGGTTTACATCAGCGACTGATGCCCAGATGACTTTCACGTTGGCCCGTACGCCCGACACCAATGGACGTCTAGACATGTTCTACCTACCCACAAGGGACCAAGAGGGCAAGCTCAATGGACTCAAGGTCATCACAAGTGGGGCCCTGGTATCCTCTCTATCCCTGCTGAGTAGATAGTGAGGTTGAAGGATAAGTTGGGCACGCGGCAACTGCCAACATCTGAGATGGAACTGAACGCTAGTAAGGCGGTCAGAGTAAGGGTGGGGGTTCCCCTTGTTACTCGATCGTTCTTTTTTAGGTGACTTATAATGGTCGAGGACTGAGTATGATAATGAACTTGGCATCGATCACTCGAATACATAATACTGTATCGGCAGCAGCTGGCATGAGGAGGATCATACAACTGGCTAAAGACTACTCTACTAAGAGAGTGGCATTTGGCCGCAGACTCCAAGAGGTAACTTCCGCCGGTCTGAGGTATACTAGAGAAGGTGGAATGGTCTCAGTTGCCGGCTCACGTTGCTACCCTGGCAGAGTTGGAGGTGGAAGCTCGAGCGGCCTGCTCGTTGTGGTTGGAGATGGCAAGACTGTTGGGCAAGGTGGAGGCTTCCACTGCTACTGACGATGAGGTCACCACTGAGGTCTGAGAGTCCTTGGGGTATACTGTTGCGGCCCAGATGATGATATTTCGTCTATTGGTACCGCTATCGAAGCTGCAGACGGGCAGACAAGCGGTTGATGTAGCATCCAAGGGTATTGAGCTGTTCGGTGGTGCTGGCTTTATGGAGGATACTGGTCTACCCTCGCACTTACGTGATGCCCAGGTAGTGTCATGCTACCGCCACACTCTGCTGAGTGCTGTTGAAGGTGTTGGCAATATGGGAGGGCACTAGTAATGTACAGGCGATGGATGTCCTGAGGGTCATCACGCAGACTACAGGGGAAGCATTAGCTGCACTTAAGCGTAGGTTTGAGTCGAGTATAGGAGTTGATCCCAGGGTGGGTTGAAGAGGTCTATGTCCCTTTTATCGCCTTGTCTTTGTTAGGTTACCTCTCTGTTGGACCAGGCGGACCATTTACTCCGAGATGAGTTCCCTGAGCCTCTGGCTCTCCGAGCGTCGTTTCTGGTGGCCCGTGGTGTGTGTGGTGGTTTGATGTTGGAGCATGGCCGACATGAGGAAGCTGTGAGGAGTGACACCATCGCTGCTGATCGGTGGTTGATGGATACGAAAACCGGTGTGATGCATGGTGCCAGGATGCATGCGGAAAACAGAGCTCTGGTGTTTGCCGAGGAGGATTTATCTCTCACTCACCGAGCTGGTAGAGTGTGTGCTTTGTAGCCTTCGTGAGGATCTCGAGTTGAGTTGAGTGCGTGGGCGGATGTTTGCAGTGGTGTTTCCTTCCTCGTAAATGACTGAAGGCTTTCGTGAATCACCGGTACCCTATGCGGAGCCTAGCTGGTACTATAAGGGCTTCAGCTCCCCCTACTATACCGACTCGCATCGAGCATGGCGTGGCAAATGTCGGAGCTTTGTGGAAGAGCATGTCATACCGTATGTTTCCGACTGGGAGAAGACTAAGGCTATCCCGCCCGAGGTTTATGTGAAGTGTTATCAGGCTGGGCTCCTCCCCTGTGTTGTTGGTGCTAAAGGTTTTGACTATGTGGATGCTAAGGTATGCCCCAAGCCAGAGGGCTATGACTATTTCCACGAGTTAATCTTCATCGATGAGTTGGCTAGATGTGCAAGTGGTGGGGTCTTGTGGGGCCTCATAGAGGGCCTCCAGATTGGGCTCCCACCGGTGCTGAACTTTGCTACTGATGCTCTGAAGAAGAGAGTGGCCCCACCGTGTCTGCGTGGTGAGAAGAAGATATGCCTTTGCATCACGGAGCCGTATGCAGGCAGTGATGTCGCCAATATCCGTACTACGGCTAAGTTGAGTGCCGATGGGAAGCACTATATCGTTAGTGGTGAGAAGAAGTGGATAACGAATGGTATCTTCGCTGACTACTTCTCAGTAGCGGTAAGGACTGGTGGAGTTGGTATGAAGGGCATATCTATGTTGCTGATTGAGAGGGACATGCCCGGGGTGAAGACAACTAGAATGGAGTGTCAGGGTGTATGGCCGAGTGGGACTACCTTTGTCGAGTTCAATGATGTTAAAGTGCCGGTGGAGAATCTTATAGGGAGGGAGAATGAGGGTTTCAGAGTTATAATGTACAATTTTAATCACGAGCGTTGGGGGTTCGTGGCGCAGGCAGCGAGGCTCTCCAGAGTGCTTTACGAGGAGTCGTTCAAGTATGCTCAGAAGAGAAGAACTTTTGGTAAGACTTTGATGGAACATCCGGTCATACGATGGAAGTTGGCCGAGATGGCGCGTCAAATTGAGGGCGTGCAGTACTGGCTTGAGAGCGTCACTCACCAAATGAATGTGATGCCGTGGGGCGAGAGCATGACGGCTTTGGGTGGCACGCTCGCTTTGATGAAGGCTCACAGTACTAAGGTAAGAAGACAGTCATTGCTATGCTACGAGTAGTGCTGTCACTTTAGGTATTTGAGTACTGCGCGAGGGAAGCGGCTCAGGTCTTCGGTGGGAACGCGTACACTCGTTCCGGCTTGGGAGAGAAGGTTGAACGACTGTATCGTGACGTTAGAGCCTATGCTATTCCCGGTGGATCAGAGGAGATCTTATTAGATTTGGGCATACGACAGGCCGACAGGCTGTATAAGAGCAGGATGTGATCCTGCGCGGCCGTTTCGGATATGCGCCAAGAAAATCTCGCTCGCCTAGAAATGGCGAATGAGATTGGTTGATTTGCGTTAGATATCGAATCTCATGTGTTTTTCAAGGGCTCATTGCCTGTTGTGTTGGTTAATGTGTAGTGCTGAGAGGTTCTGCCTTCTCAGAAGTGGGCTATTACTGTTATCAGTGCGTGTGAGGAAGTTTAGAGGCAATTGAACGGCTGTGATCGTACAGGGGGACATTGTGTCCCTCCTTTATGATGCTTGTATGAGTCCTGAGGACATTGTCTCAACTATCTTGTCACGAGATGGTTGAGATACAAGAAACTCGTGTGTTCCATACCGACTTGGTGGTTTACGAGTGTAGGATAGGTCTTTTAGATTGGTATTATCGGTGGTTAGCAATCTGCTGGCCGATGGTCGCAATGGCTTTTTTGTTGTGTTTACCCTCTCTCTTTCTCAGTTCCCACTTGATTGGAATCCTTGTGCTACGTGCATCAATGTCCACTGCTAACAGAAGCTCATCGTGCAATGCAGCTATCGAGCTGCGAACCCCTCTAACCCCACCTCTACCACCAGGTCAAGATTTCTCCTCCTACGGTGATGAGAACATCGGTGCCTGTATGGACTGGACCAGGCTACCGAAAGCTCCGGTTCTTGCTCTTGAGAGGTCGGCAACCGGTCTGTCTATGGTGGATGATGCGTCCTCCTCAACTGACGAGTCCCCGTCTTGTGCGCTCGATTCACCGAGGTCGTTGCCGTCCGTGGCCGAGAGACAGAAGACCCCGCCCTCCATGGGCACGGCTTGTCCCTTGCCAGCACCTGCTGCTCTTGAATCTAGCGCGGGCGTCTCATCGATCAAGCGTAAGAAGCCTCGAGATCCCGGCCTGTCGATCAATACTGATATCGATGACCACGAAGTTGACGTGAGATTCATAAAAGCAATAAGGAGTAGAAGACTCAAGTAAGATAGTTGTTGGTCCTTGCCCGTGTCTTCTATGTGCTACTCTGTCTCAGTTTAAACAAGCCCGTGTTCGGGACTGTGGAGTATCACCGGATGCAGTTGCGTGCCCTTGCTAAACCGATTTATTGGGGGAACCGATGCTTGGTAGAACCGGTACGTTACCGTCCATTGCTCCGCCATGGGGATCTCATGTATTTCTACGCACCTCCACCACAATATGTCGCGGCTCGAAGGCCGAATCCCCGTCGTAAAAAGAACCATCAGTGTCTCCCGTTGGACTGGTTAACTGGTGCCTTCAAGCGTGTTCGTAGCCGTATTACCCGGGCTTCCCAGTAGAGAAGACCCCGGAAACATTCTTCACCATACAAGAATCTCTCGTCACACGAGATTGATTATATTTGCCAATTCAATACTAGCGTGGTATAGTAA